AATGTGGCTGCCATACAGTGCTAGAAGTTTCGTGAATCAAATGACATGGAATGTATGAGAAGAGGTAACCACAACAAATATGAAAATGAAATTATCGCACCGTGGTTTCATCTGCAGGTTTCCTATGTCCAGAAAGGCAGCTCGTCGTGAAGAGAATGGTCCATAGTGCAGTAAAGAAGTAGAAAGTTTGTAATCGTCAGAATGTCGGTCTTCTTATACTTCCAAGATGGGTTCACTTCTGGAGCTCTTCCTTTCATGAAGATAAAGGTAGGGTACTTGTCTCCATTTCCCCGCCATCAGTCGGCAGTATTCTAAAGGCAGGCTTGAAAGCAGGTACGCGGCAAGCATAGGTGCTTTTGTCTGTTCTTTTCAGACAGGATGGAACTCATTTATCAACTTTTGAAGGATGGACGGGAGTTACTCAAACAGGGACCTCTCCGTTCTGGATGTAACCTTTCACCGACTGAACAACCACGGTCTAGCCTAGTAATATATGACCACTGCCTGTTTTCCACATCCAAACAGGTATAAAATGACTTAACCAAAGGTCAAACTTTAATACTGGAACATGAAAGAATCCTGATCTTAAATGGACCGAACTGCAAAGAGTTTTCCCGTTTCAATATTGCCACGACCACATACGGTTGTCTAAAGGGGTAGAGTATAAAACGGTAAGGAGTATCAGGGAGAAGAAACGTCTTGCCGGAACAGAGATCCCTGACGACACGTGTCTAATTATGAGAGTTAAGTTAATCACAGTTTGGAATGTGGGACTTCTTTTACTTTCACGACTGAACAATTTTGATGCCTTTCTTTACGTGAAATTGATGGCGAGATGCTGATGTTCATTTTTATGTCATCAGTCATGAGTACCTTAATTTTGAAGGTACAGTCTACAACTGACCGGGGCTTGAACTCATTGGTTCAGAGTTCGACGCTCAATCGACTAAGCAGCCATTGTGTGAACCAATGTGTAGTAAATTTCTTACTCAAGGGAATTCGTGAATATGACAAAAATTGTCCTCAAACGGAATCGTACTTGAAACTTGTGGAGCTCGAAGCAAGCTTCTTAGAGAACTGCGCCAACACGCCAAAAGAATCAGATCCGAACTTCTGTATCTCCTGTAGCCCATAATATTTACGTTTCTCAAACTGATCCTCGTCAGAATCCTTGGCGGCGTTAGAAAATGTGCAAACGAAACTTTTGAACTGGTAACTCACCTGGAATGTACAAAATATCCCCAGGAGAGAGTACAGCGTGGTGCCGTAAAGCTTTTCGGAACAACGGAAATTCGGTCTTGTCAAAATCGTCTATGTCAATCACCCTGGATTTGTCGCCTAGAAATGATACCATATCATCAAAGTATGCCACGC